GGGGGTCAGAATGCGTCCACGGGGCTTTGAGCGCAGCCTTCGCAATAAGGCGAGGGCGGGTCCGGACGGCTAGAGCTCACGGGGCTCTCACGCGCGCCTTTTCTTTGTTGTTGTTGTTGTTGTTGTTGTTGTTGTTGTTGTTGTTGTTGTTGTTGTTTCGGTTGTTGTTGTTGTTGTTGTCGTTGAATTCCCACTACTGAAGAATAATTATTATCCCTCCCCCCTCTTGGTTCACGCTCGCATCCTTTTTTGGTTATCAGGGAGAGTCTTCATTTTCAAAGTGCTCAAAGTGCGTTGTTGGCCCCTGGGTTACAACACCAAAGGCTCCCGCCTGAGATTTCCTCGCAATTTAGCCAGGACCCCCGCTCCCGCCCGAGACGTCTTCGCATTTGATTCAGGAATCGCGCTATCGCTCGGGAGTTCGTTGCAATTTATTATAATGGCCTCCGGCCAGTGCCGCCGATCCGGGGGGCTCTGGATTCAGTGATCTTGAAGTCGTCGGGGACGCTGTTTGGGAGGGGGGGCGCTCTTGGAGTCGTCGGGGACGCTTTTTGGACCTGACGTGCCCTGTGGGGGGGTGCCTGGGGCAGTCCCAGGGGGGGTCCGGGGAGGGTTCCGAAGGGATGGTCCTGGGGGCGGTAGCGGCTAGATTTGAGGAGGGTCCATGGGACCCCCCGAAACATCGTGGGGATGCGCAAATCATTAATCAAACGCCAGATAGGGGACCGCCCCTTCCCCTCCCCCCCTTCCCTGGGGGGGGTCCGGGGAGGGTTCCGAGGGGAGAGTCCTGGGGGGGGTACCTGGTACCCCCCGAAGCATCTTGGGGATGCGCACATCATTAAGACAACGTCAAATGGGGGAACGCCCCCCCCCCCCCCCCCCCTCCCCCCCTTTCCCGGCAAAGCCACCCCAGCGACCCTCCCCCAAGCAGAGCTGAATCTCGTGCTTAGGCTCAGAGCTGCAACTCTTGCTGAGGCTCTTTGTAGTTCACACGCTGGATCGGCGGATTCAGGAATCGCTCTGTCGGCGCTCTGGAGTAGCGCTCTCGCTGGAGACTTACTTGCAACTCACTCAAGAATAGCGCCCTTGCGTTGGACTTTCCCGCAATTTACTCAAGCGCCGCGCTCCTGGCACTCAGGCGCCCAGGAGTCGCGCTCACGCTTAGGACTCCCTCGCAGATTATTTAGGGATCGGGATCTCGCTGCCCTTCGTGGACCCGTTGCAGTCCTTCGTGGGCCCCTCGCTGCCCTTCGTGGCCCCGTTGCAGCCCTTCGTGGCCCCCTCGCTTTGTTTCGTGGCCCCGTTGCAGCCGTTCGTGGCCCCCTCGCAGCCCTTCGTGGCCCCGTTGCAGCCCGTCGTGGTCCCCTCGCTGCCCTTCGTGGCACCGTTGCAGCCCGTCGTGGCCCCCTCGCTGCCCCTCGTGGCACCGTTGCAGCCCGTCGTGGCCCCCTCGCTGCCTTTCGTGGCCCCATATATGTATGCCCTTCGTGGTCCCCGCTCGTTGGTGCCCGTCGTGGCCCCGTATGCATGCCCTTCGTGGCCCCGCTGTCGCCTGTCGTGGCCCCCCCGCTGCCCTTCTTGGCCCCGTTGCTGCCTCAGTGGCCCAGTCCTTGCCCTCCGCGGCCCAATATACGCATTCCCTTCGTGGCCCCCGCTCGTTCGCGCCCGTCGCGGCCGCATATGCATGCCCTTCGTGGCCCCGCTGTCGCCCTTTGTGGCCTCTTCGTTGTCTTACGTGGCCCAGTTGCTCCCCTCAGTGGCCCCGTCGTTGCCCTCTGTGGCCCCGCATTATCTGCCCTTCGTGGCCCCCGCTCGTTCGCGCTCTTCGTGGCCTTCCATACGCATTCCTTTCGTGTCCCCGCTGTCGCCCTTCGTGGCCTACTTCGTGCCCTTCGCGGCCCTGCTGTCGCTCTCTCTCGCCCTCGCTTTCGCTCGTCGTCGTCGTCGTCGTCGTCGTCGTCGTCGTCGTCACCGTCGTCGTCGTCGTCGTCGTCGCCGCCGCCGTCGTCGTCGTCGTCGTCGTCGTGGTCGGTCCCTTGTCCGTTCCTCTTGGGGTCGGGTTGCCGCCGATCAGCGCTGCCGCTGGCCAGGCCGACGGTCCGCGGCCGCCCCGCCGCTTGCCGGGGCCCGGCCTGCAGGGAAAAAAGGTATACCCCCCAACAGGGGCACCATCGAAGACGAAGAGGGTGGGTATCGAAGGTTTGGGAAATACGTGTTAACGGACATTCGAGCAGATAAGATCGAACGGTTCTAAACTGATTGTTGTTGTTGTTGTTGATATTGTCGTCGTCGCCGCTGTTGTTGTATTTGTTGTTGTTGTTGTTGCTGTTGTTGTTGTTGCTGCTGTTGCTGCTGTTGCTGCTGTTGTTGTTGTTGTTGTCGTCGTTGTTGTTGTTGTCTTTGTGGCTGTGGTTGTGGCTGTGGTTGTTGTTATTGTTGATGTTGTGGTTGTTGTTGTTGTTGTTATTGCTGTTGTTGTTGCTGTTTTTTTGTTGCTGTTGTTCTTGGTGATGATGCTGCGGGTGATGATGGTGATGATGATGGTGATGGTGGTGGTGATGGTGATGGTGATGATGATGATGATGATGATGATGATGATGATGAGGCTGATGATGATGATGATGATGAGGATGATGATGATGATGCTGATGATGATGATGATGATGATTATGATGATGATGATGATGACCATGATGATGATGATGATGATGATGATGATGATGATGATGATGATGATGATGATGATGATGTCGGTGGCTGCGGGGGGCTTGGGGGGAAGGGTCCAAGGAGAAACTGCATAACAACAGAACAACGGGCCCCCCTCGGGCCCCGTTGTGTGTTCGTCTGGCTCTTGCGGGGCGCGGCTTCGGTCGATGCGCTTCGGACCGCTAATACGAAAGGGGAAGTGTGCGTGTGTGTGTGTGTGTGTGGCACCAGGCAGCTGACGCGAAAATTGTGTGTGTGTGTGTGCGTGTGTGTGTGTGTGTGCCACGCGACAGCAGTCGCACACCCGAAGAGGCTGCAGGCTGAGGGAGGATACCATTTCACCGCAGCCTGGCACTCGTGGTGCAGGCATATGTGTAAGGAGCAGGGCAAAAGGCAAGTCCAAAGACCAGGTTGCGTTCGACCCGAATTGCTGGCAGCCCAAGATAATCGACAAATTTCTGGAGGACATGGACAGTTGCAACCACCACGTGGAGACGTGGTCTCGGTACGCCGGCGTCTACGTGGACTGGGACCGGGAAAAGGCCCTGTACCAGGATGTCCAGAAGAAAAAAGAGGTTGCCCAAGGTGAAAGGGCGCGGGGAGGGCCAGGCGCGCAGCTCCGGGTACAACGACAACTGGACCGGGAAGCGCCCCAGGCGCTGACCAGCCTGCAACCGGCCCCCCTGTCAGGCGCAGTGCGCTGCGACCGACTTCTTCCTTTCCCTCCGACTTACGGCAAGATCTTTGTGCAACCCACCGCTGGCCACGCCCACCAACTGATCCCCCTTCCCCCTCCCCCCTTGCCCCCTGGCTTGGGGCCGCGTGTCTTCCTGATCCCCCCCACCTGTTCCCCCGCAGCCTTGGCTGGAAGGCTGGGCCAGGAGCCTGGCAGCCCACGGGCGCCGCCGTCACGTGCGCGGGACAGGCACGCGCAGCATCACGGGCGCTGTAGCGGTGCACGTGGTACGTGCACGGCTCCACCAGACGGCCTGGTACGCCGGCGATACCGCCCCCCATCCCCACCGTTCCACCTGCTTATGGGACCGTTTGTCCCCCTGGTCCCCCAGGCTCTCCCTCTTCTGGACCGCCCGGGCTTACCTGTCCAAGCGCAGCGGCGTTTGTCTATTGGTCCACCTGGTCCCCGTCTGTGTTACCTGCTCCCCACCCTCCCCTCTTGTCTTTAACGTGTATTGGGACCGTGTGTCCCACCTGATCCCACTGGGTACCCAGCTCCACCCAAGTGAGTACCGATGGTGCGGGCTGGCACGTCGACGGCTGGCGGTGAGCGCTGGCCCTTCTCCTTCCTGTTCGCTTCTTCCCCTCCCGCTCGCCTCCCCCCCTCTCATGGCGGCAGCGCCTGGCACTGCACGGCTTCGGCCCGGTGCTAGGCGCTGCACCTTGCCGCCTCGGCGGCCCCGCTCGCCATGGCGCTGCGCGGCTCAGGCCCGACTCTTGGCATGGCGGACGTCAGCGCACCGTGTGTGGCTGCTGTCCGTCTCTTCGCGCGCTGTCGATGCAGGGCAGGTTTTTTCCCTGCAGCTCACCGAGTTCCAGTCGGTCATGGACGGCCCGTTCGTTTGGAGGCCGCACCTTAAGCTTCACTGCTACGTGGTCGTGGATTGGACTGCCACCCCGGGCCCCTCTGCATCATCTGGTGGCACAACGTTGCTCATCGCCTTCGTGGTGCTCTTCTTCCTCCCGGGCGTCGACCCGGTCAAGTGGCGCGTCCTCCCCTGCAGTGCTTGAGGTTGGTGTTCGCGAAGTGCCGTTGACGGTAACACCATGTCCTTCGCCTTCCGCGTCTTCGCCCTCGGTCCCTGTCCAAGGCGTACCTTTTCCTGCACATCCACTTCGGCACCGCCTGTTCCCCGGGCCCCGCCCGCTCCGGCCGCCTGAGCCCCCGCCTCCCTGTGCCTTGTCTCCCTAATAAAAGCCGTGCGTATCCCGCCTAGCTTTTAGCGGAAGAGGGTCGCTCTCGTCCCGCAGGTCAAAAAGTGTGTGTGTGTGTATGTGTGTGTGTGTGTGTGTGTGTTTACTTCCATTCTGGAGCCTGCCACGACCACACTGCGAACGGAAACGCCGTCGCGCTGCTTTCGGTCCGTGGTGACGATGTCATGGCTGCCCGCGTCGTCGTCGTCGTCGGCTTCGACGTTGTCGCTGTTCGTTGTCCGTCGTTGTCGTCGTTGTCGTCGTCGTCGTCGTCGTCGGCGTTCGTCGCTGTGGTCGTTGTCGCGTTCGTTTTCATCGTCGCTCTGGAACCACGAAGGGCCTGGGTCCGCGGGACGGGTCCGGAG